CTGCTGCTGCTGCTCCTGCCGGCTGGCTGCCCGGTGCGCGCTCAGAACGACACGGAGCCCATCGTATTAGAGGGCAAGTGCCTGGTGGTGTGCGACTCGAGCCCGTCAGCCGATGGCGCTGTCACCTCCTCGCTGGGTATCTCCGTGCGCTCGGGCAGCGCCAAGGTGGCCTTCTCCGCCACGCGCAGCACCAACCATGAGCCGTCCGAGATGAGCAACCGTACCATGACCATCTATTTCGACCAGGTCAGCCGCCCGCCGCCCTGCGCTGGAGGTCGCTTGCGCCTCTCTTCTGCCCTGTCTGGCCCTTCTCCTCCCTCCCTTCCATGTTCATTCCTCATTTCCTAGGATGCCCTTCTTCCCATCTCCCTTCTTCACTGTGTTGCTGGGCCATCGTTAAATTCTTGGCTCAGTTGGCACTTGGCTGACCTAGAGGCTAGCAGAGCTGCCTGAATGACTGGAAAGATGTTTCCCGAAAGGAAACGTTGCACTTTTTACTTTTCGCTCTTGGGGGAGTAAAAATCAGCTCTTGTTCTTTGTGGCGGATGGCATTCAGTTACCCAGGAGGAGAACATAAAGAGTGAAGGTATTTAAACCACCCCCACTCCACCTGCTCCGAATGCGTTTTTGCCGAAGGTCTCAGCCAACAGCAGGAACTGTGTACCTGCTCTTCACTCTGAGGGGTGGACTGGGGAGGGTCTGTGTATGTTCAAGAAGAATGAGTGGAGGGGCGTGGGGAGACACACCAGGGATAGAGTAATTCCTGTGTCCAGATATACATGCAAAATCAAATGCCAGCCTTAAGCCACTTCCCTTCTTCCCACATGGTTCAAAGCAGACGGGCCAAAAAGAGGACCAGGCCTTTGTACCCCCATCTCTGGGTCAGAGGCTGTGACTTCTATTGTATTCTCCCCCTGCGTCTCTCTTATTTTTCAGCAACAAATTGAAGACACCTGAGTGGTTTCTAAACTTCAGCTCGTCAGCCCCTTCCTTTTGCCAAAGTCCCTTCCCATAAAATGGAATTCCCTGGAGTCACTGACAGCCTACTAGTGTTTATTGTACACACCCATTTGACTTCACCATGGCCTCTTGGGCCAGTGTTTTCATTTCTTCTAATCGTTGCTAAGGATTATGTATTTGATTTTCTTTCTTTTTTTTAATGTCTCTGTTTAATCTGTATTTGCAAGACATGAAAATATTTAACTGTGTCCACATTAAGGAGACAACAGTGAAATCTGCGTTTGGGAACTATCTGTTAATAAGTTCTTTATGTGTCTTTTAAATTATTGTTATTATTATTAATATTCACCTATCAATGCCTTAGAGATAGGTTTCACAGCATTTGCACAGGTGTCATTGTGTGTCAGAATGGCTCTGTGATTTTGGGCACGGTAAGGAGAAGAAGGACTCGAGTTTTATAGCTGAGCCGACTGTGACAGGGGAGGTGACATGATGGTTCCCAGGTACCCCAGTTATGTAGTAATTGAGACCTGCCTATCTGGGCCTGGCTGGATTTTCTCCGTCTAGAGCAGCGCCCTGAATTTGCCAGTTTCCTGCATTTCAAGTTGAGGAGGTGAAGAAAAGGGGCAGCTCCAAGTGCAGGCTGTAAAGGGAGAATCGTTTATTCTCCTCTGAAGCCTTGGGCGGCAGACAGAGAGAAGAGCCTTCCTGGGACTGTGAAGCAAAGCGGCATCCTGAAGGGCTTTTTTTGCCAACAATAGAGCCGAGTGTCTGTGTGAGTCTGCAGGTGACCAAGGGTGAAGTGGTTTCAGGCTGGGCTGAAAAAGTCCGTGTTCTCCAAGTCCAAGAATTACTGTTACTAGCAGCAGTTTGCATTGCTTTGGGGAACGCACATTATGCATCTTTTCTCTAATGAGTGTGCAAGATAGAACAGCAAAAGGTATTCAGCTGAAGTTTATTTTCTGATTGGATGACAGCGTCTCTTGTCTAGGGTTCTGTTGATGTTGCTGGTGATTTTAGAAGCCAAGGACACCAGGCAGGCCACTTTATGATTTTAATCAGATTGTGCCTTTGTGTGTAAGTAGGAGTGGGGACATGATTCAAAGTGGCCAGTCTCTGTCTTGAACATCTGAAGAGATTTGCCTAATAACGGGGACCCTCTGTCCTTCGGGTTCTGCTTTTGGCATTGCAGCACCCTCTCCCTTTTATTCGAGGAAAACCATCTGCAGGGTCATGTGATCGTGTATCTGGTGGCTCATTTTGTAACGGTTCTTGCATGTTATAGAATTCCCTGAGTTTGAGATGAGGGCATCCAAGCTCCAAATTCGATTCTCCCTTTACTTGTTCAAGCTTGTTTGCACGCCCTGTAGCTCAGCCAGGGAGATAAGCCCATTGCTCAGAGGAAAGCGAGGCAAAGCAGGGCAGCTGGTATTTCACGACCCTGGTCTCTCATCCAGCATTCGTCATTGAGTACCTACTGTGTGCTGCCAGAGCATGTGCCAGACACTGGGAAATGATAGAGATAAAAGCCAGATGCAGTCAGTTCCCTCCTGAAGCATCCAATGTTAGGCCCTACCTGGGCCTCGCATAACTTAACCTCATTTCTTTGGCTTCTGACTCCATCGCCCTTTCTCTCCTCATTCAGTATAAATCTATTTTTGTTCACCAAACTTCATGTTGAAGTCCCCACAATCCCACAGACCTCTGCAGCAGACTCAGTTGACACTCGATTTACTGTCTCCAATCCCTTCCTCTCTGTTCCTCCGTACAGCATACAACATGCTCATCCACTGTTTGAATGCATAAAAAAAGAGTCTTAAAAAAAAAATCTTTATTAACTACAACCCATTAGAATACCTTTGAAATCAACACCTCCTGTGGGATATTGTAATCCAGCCCCTGACTCCTTCCTGGAGGAGCCTTGGAATGCTAAGTGTTATTGCCTACTTTTCTGCAGCTAATAAAGGAACTGGTGTTGCTGGCTTTTTGAGAATGATTAAAACACGCTGAGCAGGGCCTTGCAATGTTCTTGCTTTATTCCCTCTTTCTTTTTGCAGGTCTTAGTAAATATTGGCAACCATTTCGATCTTGCCTCCAGCATATTTGTAGCACCGAGAAAAGGGATCTATAGTTTCAGCTTCCATGTGGTCAAAGTATATAACAGACAGACCATCCAGGTGGGTAGCTCTGACACGGTCTGGGCCCTTGCAGGTTTGGGTTAGTACATCACCATTGCTCAAGGCCCTTCCCAAGCTCTGTGAGGCTGAGCGAAAGAGGGAGCATGGGCTGCTTGCCGACCAGGAGGGCTGTGGCTCTGAGCCATCTGGGGATTCTCCGCATCAGGCCCTTGGGTGTGCGTGGGGAGGTCGGAGGAGAAGAGAACAAGGTATGGAAGTGAGGCCCTTCTTGGTCTGCTGAGTTTTGCCCTCCATGTTTCAGGTCAGTTTAATGCAGAATGGCTACCCAGTGATCTCCGCGTTTGCAGGAGACCAGGACGTCACCCGAGAAGCGGCCAGCAATGGTGTCCTCCTGCTCATGGAAAGGGAAGACAAAGTGCATCTCAAACTGGAGAGGGGCAACCTCATGGGGGGATGGAAATATTCTACCTTCTCTGGCTTCTTGGTCTTTCCACTATAAGCAGAGTCCCCTGGATGGTGGGGAGCTGCAGTCTGGACCCAGGAATCCACCCTTCCTTCGTGATACCCCAAACTTGCCAGAAGATGACACTTGTTTCCAACTTCTCATCTGACTGCTGCAGTGGAAGAACGATTTCCTTCTAACCAGTATTTTCTTTGAATATTGACAATTCCTCAGGAACCTGGCCTCTAATTAATTTTAGATGACAAGGTCTTAAGGAGAAATGAAATTATTGATTGGAGCAATTTGTACCTGTGATTGTAAAGTCAATATTGGATTTTATTGTTGGGACCATGGACCTTTCTTCTTTTGTTTGTAAATTGTATTGTCGTCCCTGAGCAAGGAGTCTGCTGGCCCCAGGATGGATCACAGGTGGCAGTCGGGGCTCGAAGCAGGAACCCGGCAAATGACCACCCGCCGGACAGCCCTTGAAATGTGTTCTCTGTATGTCTGTATAGCCTTAAGAAAAAGAACGGATCCACATTCATTCTGTATTTGCTTTCCCCCTGGGTGGATTGGAGAACTTGGGAGGGGGCTGGGAATATTGTGAACCTGTCAAGAAGTGCTTTACCCAGAGACGCAATTTTGCACGATTGGACTGTGACTTTTGTTTTGTATTGTTTGTGTTTTTTCTTGAAAAGCTTTACTTTCCTTCCACAGTCAGCTCTCCCTCCTCCCTCTGACTCTTACTCTTCGTGCTGGGGGTGGGGAGAAGATGTATGTTAAATTCATGGATGAGACCAAACAAAACAAAACATACCTGTGTATTTTGTTCTGAATGAGACCAAATGAAAAAAGCAAAAAGTACCTGTATGTCAGAGTAAAAATAACACATGGACAATTCTGTTAATTCTTTCAAAGTGATTCTCTCAGATGCACTTTTTTAGAACTAGCACCCTGGATATTTTTTATTTCCAATCAGAATACATAAAGAACTTGCCCTTCCGGGGTGGGCTTGAGTCATATAAAATGAGAGTGGAAGCTATAAGGACCACGTCCCCAAACGTGCTGATTCATTGGCAAGCGTGGAGCGTGCTCCTGTCTTCTCAGCAGATTGTTTTAGTCCGTGTGGATCCACCTCTGAGTGAGCAGACATGGACGGTGTGCCTCACAGACGGCAGACCAGTCCCTCTTCCCCAGGAACCCTCCTTCGCTCTGCCAAGGAAAGGGGTGTGTTGACACTCCCTGTGTGAACCTGGCCCGGAGCTACCTCGAAGTCACAGCACTTAAAGGTATTGGCTGAGGTACGTGGGAGCCATTTTACAAATTTCTCTTGTGCAACAATATCGCTAAGGCACAGCCAGGAGTTGATGGGTGCAGGATTTGTATGTCAAGGAACTGTCACCAATCCCGAAGCTATCAAAGATGAGACCTCAAACAGGATGTTAATTTGTCCTTTGTGTAACAATGTAATCAAAGTATCAACGATAAAAAGTCATCATTTAAGATTCAGAATAAATGGGTTTGATGTCTGGCTTGCTCTTCTCCCTCCACATCATCTCCTGATTCTCAAAATATCTATAAGTAATGGCCAAGTATTGAGGATTTAGGAAAAAGTAAATCCATACTGTTCCTCTTTAAAAAATGTTACACATTTGCACACTCCCAAGCACATACACCCATATAAGCAGATCTAGCTATGAATCTAGGTTGATATGGCACATTTAGGTATAAAAATATATACACACACGTGTGTGTGTGTGTTTATTTCACATAGAGTTTTCAAGGGGTAGATTAAATGGAAAAGACAGCATTAAGAAGGTTTTGTGACTAGGCAATCTTCTTTTTTCTCATGTAACCTTTGGCTTGGTACAATTTCCAGTCCAATATTTCAATCAGAGAACACCGATACGAAAGGAACAACCGTTTGAGGAAGATAACAGGTCTTTAAAAAATGTGACAGAGGGGAGGTGGGGGCATTGGGTTCTATTTTCTAATAAGAAATGCAGTAGCGATTATATAAATGAGTAAATGTAAAGCTTGACTCAGGATCAAAGTTTTACTGTCCTTAGCTGAAGAGCATAATAGGATGCAGAATTTGATTTGAATTATAAGGTCTATTACATTTTGTGAGGTGGGTGGTGGTGGTGGGGGATCAAGAAACATCAACCAAAAAGCATTGGGGGTATTTTGGGTATTTGGAGTATTCTCGAGATAGTACTTCTAAATAAGAGAATTGCTTATTAACATTGGCAGCATAAACAGAAGGAGGCTAGCTAATAGATTTGCCCTCTGTGTTTTATTGCTCTTTGTTATTCAGTTGTCTTTCTCTCTTCTTCTTAACCCTTATGTCCTGTTTAAAACAAACAGCAAACCTCATTAGAGGACAATATAGTGCTTTGGAGATTGAAAGATACATGAGTAGTTATTATTTTTATTGCTTAATGATATATAATACACACAACTGTTTGTATTCACAACTTTATTTATTATACTGCCTAATAAAAAACAAGTTATTAAACTGACCAGTCTAAAAATAAGTACGTTTTAGGGGTCTTTTATATATGAAAAAAGCAGTTTGATTGTGATTCTTCAAGTCCTATCTTTTTTTTTTTTTTTCCTTTTGAGACGGATGCCAAAACCCTATTAGGAAGAAGCCATGAAGATAGTGTCTCTGAGGTTCTTTATAAGCTAGTGCAATGTCGACCAAGGTTCTCTTTGGCTAAGAACCCTGATCTTTGAGGGAGATGAAACTCTGCACAGTCTACGCTATATATAGGTCAGATCAAAATACCAAAATGTATTTTCCTCTTAAAAAAAAAAAACTATCATATCGGAGGCTGGAGATTCAGAAGTTCTCTCTCTGAGCCTTGATTTTCTCATCTAGGAAATGGGGGCATAACCCCTGCACTGTGCCCACCTCACAGGGTTGTTGTGAGAACTGTAAAGCACTCTAATAACATGGGGCATTGCTATGGAGAGAAGGTGTTTCTGGAGAAACAGATTTTTCAGTGTACAATTTATGAAAACTATTTCATATGACCATCTGAGAGGAGGGTGCTTTTATATGAAATAATTCTCCGTATTTCTAAATAGCCTATTAAAACTGTAACACTATATTGAAGTTTTCTTTAAGTTGATTTTTAGGAATGATGCTAATATGAACATATCAGATTCTATAAATTTTAACATTAAGTCAGTTATGGTATTCGACTGCCCTATGTGGTTTAAATTCTGTTCCACTATGTAATATAGAAATTTTATAATAATATACAACTGTAACATTTTTAGCACAAGTGAAACATGAGATACTGATATTTTGGCATTATAATAGTAAGTTGCTGTAGTTGTTACATGTTAACCCTACTAAGCAGATACAAACATTGCAAATGCTTTTAAAATAATACCATTTTTTAACTTAAAATATATTCTAGATTTGAAATATCAGCCTAACAATTCAACTCTAAGTCCTAAGAAACTGTGCTTGCTGTCTGTCATTCCTGAGACTTTCTGCATCCTGCTTTGATTTATGTATTCATGTATAAATGAAATTATCTACCTTTTTACAATTTGTACTTACTTAGGCTGCAAGAGTAAAGGTGATAAAAACCCATTGAATATTAGCATGAAAACTTACGATATCCTGTGGAGATTACATGGATTGACTTCTTTAGAAAAACTTTATCTTTAGCTAAATTTAGTTATGTAAGCATCAGAAGAGTTACAAAATATATACAAACCAAAAGAAAAAGAAAAAACCCTTTGCTGAATCTGTAATTTTATTTGTAATATTTTCTTGATATCTTCCCAAGGAAATGACAATGGTCGTTTTCCTAGTAACTCTTTTCATATATACTATTGTTTGCCTGTCAGTACATGAATATGTGCACCAGATTTTTTAACACAATGATATACAATAAAATAGATAGACTAGCCACATTCTTCAGAAATGCAGGAATATGTGGAAAGAGAATTTGATGATTCTTCTTAAACAAGCAAAATGACAACACAGGTTACTTCCTGATGCTTCAGAAAGAGTAAAAGGAGAAAAGAATATAATCAATTTGTGTCCCCTTGATTTCGCTGTGTATTATAAGTAAACTAATACTGCGATAAGGTTGCTGCAAATAAAATAGTTAATGTTTGTTTATCCACATTTCTACAACTTGGGAAGTACATAATAATCTAGTACATAGATGTATGTGGATGAAAGGCTTTTTACGTTATATTTAAGATGGTGTAAGTATATGGTAGAAGTCATAGAGGCAGTTTGCACTGAAGAATTCTGAAGAGTTTACTCTGTACTATTAAAACATTTTATAAGAAAGGAATAGAAAGAGATTAACCATAGAATTACAATGAGTTTGTGTTTGTTTTTGTTTTGCCTTATTTGTGTAGGAACGTGCCTATTATCTGTACTATTTCTAAAGCTGGTAGTAGCTACTAAAATGGGATATTACACACTTACCTTTAAATTTAAGCTCAAAGCCTATAACCTCTCATGAGACTCTTAAAATTATTTTTCTTGGCTTCTAAGGAGCAAGCACCCAAAAATAATGAAGAAAGTTGTAATACCATTTCTATTTGGTGTTATAATTTTACTTTTTTAATTCTCTGCATCTTTTTTTTTCCCCTATAATACACTCTGAAGAAGTTAGCTGATAATGACAACATTCATTAGTTAATTTTGCTTGTATTATTTGTCTAGCCATTTGAAATATAATTTTTGCAAACAGTATTTGCCCAAAAGTATATTTGCTGCCTTTGCGGATGGAAGCCTACAATTCATTAACATTTAGACTTTTTAAAACTTCCATATGTTACATAGCTAACGATGAAGTGATTGAATAGATGCAATCTCTCTCCATCCCTCAAAAAGGAAAAAATAATCATGCCAAAACTCCTTTAAGGTAGATCCAATGATTATAAACTTAGGAAAAAAAAAAAAAAGGCATGTCCAGGAGTCTTACAGTGTTATGCCAAAATATGAATCCTAAGTAAATGAGCTTTTCTTCCATTCCTAACCCAGTAGGGTAACTTGAAATTTCAAGGGCAAAAGCCGCGTGGTTGTACCTCCTACAGATAATAGGAGCTCCGTTTTATCTTCCCAAGTGGGTTTTGCTGTAGATTTCCATCAGCAAAATCACTTAAGTGTCTATAGCGTCATAAATCATCATCTTCATCATCTCACCCACATACACTCACTGTGTAGTGTAAATGAGCTCCTTGACAACTTAATTTGGAAAAGAAATCTTCATTCCCTCTTCTTAATGCCTCCAGCAGGACTCCCCAGGGTTAGAATGCTGCTTTGCACTTGAGCTATTCTAACAGAATGGAGGCTACTTATTAATGAGACACAACCCGTCTTGCCACCTGACTACTAATGCCTTGACTTTTCTGGTTGCTCCCTGACATTCTGCAGGAT